TAGGTCCATCTCTCGGGCTCCTTGCGAAGCGGAACGTTATCGGGCACCGGATAGTTCCGGCGTTCGCTCACCTATTGTATTGTTGCACCGTAGCTCGCACTCATCTGTGATCAGACAGATCCCCAGAACAGCTCCGCTGTTAAAATTCACTTATGCAGTTGTTCATTTTAGGAACACTGCAAAAATAATGTGTAAATAATTTTCAAAGGACCAATGGCGATGGGTGTTATAACGCTTATAATTATAAATTCATTTAACCTTATCGTCTCGCTCTGCAGAAAGCTAGCGCGTATATCTAGCAACAAAATTTAGAAGTCAAGAAGGTAATTTTTGCGATGATGACTTTGCCTCGCACCTTAAGACTCAATGCCCATGGTTGTCAGCTACCATTTCATGAATACCTGCTACGTCGCAAAGCCCTCCTTTAGCTTATTTGGAAACACATAAGACTGTTTGCACTATCATACCGAGCTGTAGAGAGAGAAACTTCTTTTCTAAACAAGAGTTGATGCATCTTGCACTGCTTGTCGAAGAACTGGGTATCATGAATCCCATAACGTTAGTGTTAATAAATCAGCTATGTGCAGATTGGTAACTTTAACCCCAGTCACCGCACAATGTATCTACATGTCCCTGCAGGCAAATGGCGTTATCGGAGTCATTAATGGTCGAGCCTTGAGCAAAAAACAATAATTCACGTGATTTCATCCACGTCTGACCTTTTAAAAGCATTTATTTTTTATGGTCATATGTAGTTAATTGCTGCATCCTGCTATTATGCGGCCGTAATATTCTTAATAGAGCATGCTAAGGTTTCAAGAATTCGTATAGAATTCCATGCTAGGATGGCACTCATTCATCTTAAGAGTGAACAATAAGGAGACCAAGACAATTAGGTAGAAACTGCATTAGCGCGACTTCGTTAAGGTTTATTTTGTTGTAAAGATCCCGTTCAGTGAGAGTTTATGGTGGTTATGACGAACTGTTATTGTGAGTGGTTGCATTTGTATGTTTTGCTGGCGCAAGCATGACTTAGGCTAGGCTGTGGTAATGTGATGTATTTTGTCACGTTATTTTCTGATATTTCGATGTCGTCTTTCCGCAGAATTTGTCACATAAAAACCAGAGTTTTACAGTTTTCTGTTTTATTTTCCTTTAAAAGGCATGGTCTTGTTGATGTTAAATGGGTTAGGTGTTTGGGGCATCTTGGTATCTACCCAATACTTTGTGGTCACTTTCCGAAAAATAAGGCAATTCTAGAACGTGTCGTGGCTTGAAACTTAAGAAGATGAATTAAGTTATTGTAGAGATATGCAAAAGACACTAACATCACGCAAGGAACGCAAAAGCGGGAAGTTAGATCCAGGTGTGATCCTATCAACTGATTGTGCTTTGTAGATTAAAAGCCAGAATCGTGGCCTTATTCATTGAAAGATATGTGTCCATTCCGAATGTAGTGCATTAAATAAAATATTGTATAAGTACTTTGCATGACAATGAGATAGTACTGAAACAGAGCCTAAAGACCTTAGGCGAGATTAGAACTACTCCAAAGCACTTGACTTACAATGAAGACACGAAAGTTGTTACTGGGACAAGTTAATGCAACTAAAATAAACAGAGCAATAACAAAACACGTATTCTAATTCGTGTGGGTAATGAAAAAAAAAACTACTTCGTCTTCAGGAAGACGAGCTACATATGTAGCGACCTGTAAGTAAAAGACTTGCGTGACAACTTCATCCAAACACACTGATTGGTTAGTTAAATGCACGCAATACATTGCACTTGTGCGATAGAACATTAACAGTGAGGTCTTCTTGCCATTGCTCTTCTTTATCGCTTTCTTTGTTTACTTTTAGAGTTATTCCATGGCGTCAGCTAGCGAGTGTGGTTTCTCTAGTTGAAGTGTATATGTCTGGAGTATGATTTCAGGATGATCATGCCTATTCCCCCCTCCCTCTGTTTAGTTAAAAAAAACGGCGGAGGTCTACATCGGCAATGCTTCGTTCCAACCTGTGAATTTGGGTAACTTTCCTTTTTAAAATGTAATGACACCCTTAAGACCGACAAAAATAAACAATATTCAAGGCCAACGCATAAAAAAAAAGGTCTCAGAAAACCAGAAAATACTGAGCAACCATCTTCATTTCAAGTTCACCAAGCCTCCACCTATCTGAAGAGTAAGCTTTGGCGCCATAAATTTTTGGGACGTGTTGGTATATGGTATACAGCTCACTCATTATTATCAGTGTTCTTTAGGCGTGTATTATTAGTTTACGCATATGTATTCAAATGGGCACCTCATTATGATATGCAATTGCTGTCTTGTAATTTATTGGTTCGATATGCTTCCATACAAACAACTACAAACACAAAGATGCACCTTTTGTTCATCAGTGCGAATAGCGTGAAGTACAGGTGCTCTCACGATAATTAAGAACACCGAACATGCAGCCACTTACTGGCGAAGTGCACACGCGGGTAAATGCAGGCAAGGTCTGCGCATGCGCGGTCTACCTGGCGAGCAAGTGTATCACCTTAGTGTATCTAGATTGGCGTTTTCTCGCTCCAAAAGTGTGTACCGCTAGGTTCCGCTCACGTTAACGAGGGCTTGTAATAGGGGCCTTCAGCATGCCTTGCTCTGTAATTCATAGATATGAAAACTAGTCGACCCTTTGCGGCGTGCACTCGCGATTATAAGCTTTTATTCTGGAAGTCTACGTGCGACTAAGATGGTATGGTATGGCTGCAAAGGCTTCACTGCCTTTTTTAAACCATGTTTTTCTGTTTTATGAAGTAATGATTCTTGCTTCAATTATATCGTGATGCGTGTTTCTACTAGCTTAGTTATACGAGGACTATTTTTAATATCCTTAACTTCCTTACAGGAGTTGGTTATATCAAGAATAAAAGAATTTAGAAAACGTAATGAGGTGACATGTTTGTGAATGCAAAATTCAGGCAAAGGACTGACTTCGTGCATACTCTTTATCAAGCTTTCTTCAACCGTCCCTTTCTATTCTTTTCCCCTGCTTACCTTTTTATGCCCATTTCTCTTTCTCTTACGCAGGGTAGCAACCCGTATATTTTTCAGGGTAACTTCCCTGCTATTCACACAACTTTATTTTCTCTCTCCACACTACTCCGGAGTTTTTTATTCGTGCACCACATGTAGCAGTTCGCATATATTCGCGCACTAGTCAGTCCCGGAATATGGGCGCTTGGTAACGAGTTTTGGAGCATTTCGTTCACGTGTCATAGTTTATTGCTACAGATTTACATTTTCGTTTCCGCTTAGGTAGTGTTCAATGCTAGTCAGCGATAGCATATCTCAGCTAAATGCAAAATCAATGGCATCAAAGAAGAGATATATCTATACCAGGAAGAACACGGTTTATTTTTTCTTACGAAAACGTTACAGTTTTGCCGCAAAAAGAAGAAATGAACAGGCTAGCAACAAGTTTGAAGATAACGCACAGAATGGTAAACAGATCAAAACGTGCTCCACATTTCTCACTCACACATAACGCACGTAGCGTACTCACAGGTACAGATAAACGCCAATAAGCGTGTCACTTGTTACTTACCTGTGTCTGAAAAGCGTGCTATTTTCGCAAACGAAGACTATGCAACAATTGCAGTGACGTTTCTGTGCTCGGTAACTACAACATAATTGTTCCGGTGAAAGCCAAAGGCCAGCAAAAACATACGATGCTCTCCCCTACGAGATAAGGGCACGCGAGAGAGCGTCCAGGGGTTTTACGTCCACCTCCACCCATGGGACAAAGTACGCACGGGAGATAAAAGCACGTGCCCGCGTCGTGACGATGTAGCGACGCGCACTCATTGCGCCATCTTGCAGGTAATGCTGAAAACATGATAGCCCCCCCCCCCCCCCCCGAGATGCGTGTCATCAGCTGTAAGTGGTAGATTTAAATAGCTTGTCGTGTCAACGTTGCAGGGCGTACTGCGCCGTGGCTCAGTGGTTAACGCCTCGCACTCACGTTTCAGAGATACCAGTTCGATTCTGTGCACCGGGATCTCTTTCTAGAATATTTTCGCATTTTCACAAATATACATATATATATATATGTATATATATATATATATATATATATATATATATATATATATATATATATATATATATATATATATATATCGAGTGACGGTGACGCCCACGTCAACCCCAGCAGCAAAATCCAGTCGAGAGTGTCCATATGATTGCTATCGCAACAAAAGAAAGAATTGAAGTTGAGCTTTATTTGTTCTAGCCCCGCCGCGGTGGTCTAGTGGCTAAGGTACTCGGCTGCTGACCCGCAGGTCGTGGGATTGAATGCCGGCTGCGGCAGCTGCATTTCCGTTGGAGGCGGAAATGTTGTAGGCCCGTGTGCTCAGATTTGGGTGCAAGTTAAAGAACCCCAGGTGGTCGAAATTTCCGGAGCCCTCCACTACGGCGTCTCTCATAATCATCTGGTGGTTTTGGGACGTTAAACCCCACAAATCATTATAATCATCATCAATCATCATCAACTTTATTTGTTCTATGTGGCCATGGTTTCATCAGATGAAGACGCCGTCCTTTGCCAGTGCTAGTCACAGTTATATTCAATAAACATTCTCGTGAAATGATAAAAAACAAAAAACAACGCACTCGAACACGCATGCACGCACGAAGGCCTATTTCCCAACTCGATGCATGCACGCACAGCTTGTCACAGACATCAACCACGCAGCCCCCATCTTAAAGCCCTAAAGGACACGTAGCACTACCGTTTTGTAGCAACGCAACGCAAACTTTCGTGCACTAGAGATCAACGCTTGCTTTTTAGGGAGATTGCGCATTCGCATACCATCGTAATACGTTTTCACAGGCACGCTCTACATACGAGCGGCTGCACTTCCGGAGTTCTAAATTATTTTGAGAGTGCCTGTGCAGTCTACTATATCGGCTATAGGAAAGTAAAACTTGCAAAAAAAGAGACCAAAACGTTACGTACATTACATGGACACATTTTATTTCATACTTTGTTCGATGTCCATAAATGAAATTGCCGTAGAAAACATCAAACTGAGCACATAATTAAGTTACCTGGCCACTGATAATGCGAAATATTCAAAAAATTGTCAAAAAAAACAAATAAAACTAAGAATCACATTAAATGACCAAGAACAAACAAACATGAAATAAGTATGTTTAGTGACGGCAAAGATAAATTTTTTAAAATAAAAAGCCGTTTTGGGAGTTGTTGTGGGTCAACGTGTACAAAGCGTTGACAGACAGTGTTATGATGTATGGAGTAGATACAGATATACAATTATGGCTTAAGTTTCTGACATTTGGAAACTTGTACGTTTTTTACATTATGTATGTGTGATTTCTTGCGTTATAATCGAAAAATGTGTAAAAAAACGATATGCACTTTCCCTCCAAGCTGATGATGTAATATCCGGACAGCTACTGCCAATTGAAAAAAAAAACATTTGCCTCAACCATCACTGAGGAAGCTTATGCATATGCATAAGAAATACAAAAACCACTTGGCCACTTGAGTTTCACACAATGAACTTAGAACCTTTTTTTCATCACAAGGATGCCCGAAAGTTTGCTGAGTAGCTGTGGCCATTATAAGGCCAAAGTTGCTGAAAAAGTTCATGAATACACTCCTCACAAACAAACTAAAGTAATATGCATCTGAATAACGATGTAGACTTTGCAGGCAAATTAAGTTGCCGTTATTCAAGTCTGATTACGGCTAGGCGCAACATTTGTCGAAACTGTCATACATAAGTCTTCAGTTAGCACGCCATATTCGTACATCATTAGCGGACTGTTAAGATCCGCTATAAGCACAAACAGTGAGAGCTCATGGCAAGCCTAAAGCACTACAGGAACTCCTCGCGAAATAAAAAGGCTACACAGCTCGACAGCAGCGTGTTTAAGGTTTCTTCTCAGGCAGTTGTTCACACGTAAGATTACTGTAATATCACAGAGGAGCACCACCACACAATTGGAATTGAATGTCTTTCGTATAAAGAGCGATAAATGTTTCTATTGGGCACTCACATGAATATTGCTGTGTAGATGAAAGGACGCTTCACTGAAGAATACTTTCACTAAGAACCCTGTCACTGCAGGAAACTTGTGCGTTTACCCCGGCTGTCACCTTTTGCATTGTTTTTGCTGCCAGTAAACTGTTCAACGCAAAATTTATCGCCACACTATTTCACAAGCCACCGTACACGATGGACGGGTTCATGAATTGAAGTTCGTGACGCCCACCTAAACAGTGTCGACTTGTCATTGTGTTCCAGTGGCAGGCTTCTCGTCGTTTTCTAGCACGATGCGCGGAATTTCGAAGACTACTTCTTGCGTTAGGTTGCTTCCCTTCTGCGCTTTCACTGACGCCGCATTCTCGACCTGTGGTCGTGTGGTGGAACCAAAGAACAGCTTGTCCAGGTTTGCCGTGGGGCCCTCACACACCAGATACATAAAGTAGGCGAGAGTGTAGCTCCACATCAATACCGAGAAGAACAAGGTCACCTGGTCGCACACAGGAATGAGGAGTGAGAGAGAGAGAGGGCATATTGGTAGGGTAAGAGTTTGTACATACTTAAACGACAAACATAACAAGTAAAATGCTGTAGCCTTGAACAACTGATTAACATAATGCGAAATGCGTCGCCTTAATAATATGACAATGCTTGTACAATAAAGCATAGAATAAGAAACGGGGAAATGGTAAGTGGCCATAATATGAGTACTGTGTGTCCACTCACGTCAGCAGACTGGTAGATAAAGAAAGTGAAGACACGACACAACGAGTGCACTCTGTCAAATGATGATTTGAAGGTTCTCAGACGTAAACTGCCGACAGGGCTCGTAAAGGAGTTTTTCTTGTCCGTCGTACACGTTTTCAGATAGTATAAGTTTCCGGATGGCTCTTTCGGTCGCAGTTCAGTACTGCGCACGTATGAGTGCCGGCACGAAAAAATCATCCAAGCTACTTTCACAACAATTTACCATTTCATATAGAATAAAAGGAGGTGCTAAGGTTATGGCGTGCTTGTATTTAGACGAAATACCATATAAACAACAGCATCCTTACAAGTTCCACTCAACAAAAGGTAAATGTACAACATCGACTAACTTTTTTATTTATGGCCCTTTATGTTCAACTGGGGCGTTGATATATGCGCTCTATTACTTCAAAAGCTTTGCTGATACATCTCAGTCAAATACCAACGTTCAAAATATATGCCATAACGCTCGTTAAAAAGAACTTGTCGCGGAACTTTGTGAAGAATGGGTAACATTGTGAAGAACTTTGTGAAGAATGGGTTGCACGGAAGCTTGACCTTTCTGAACTAATTTATTTTTTTGCAAGTATGTACTGACTCTTTCATTTATGATGGATATCATTTTATTTTGTGTGTGTGTGTGAAGCGTAAAACAAATTTCAATAAAATGTGTTTTAATTCGTAGCAATAGTAACAAGTTGTAATGAAAAATGCACGTTAAATATTTTAGTCTACCACCTTCTGAAACGAGCACTAGGAACAAGGCTGGGAGGAGAAGTGACGGGATGTGCTTACCTGATTAAAGTGAGAGTAATAGAGGCGTTCCCTTGATGAATGCAGCATTATTTCGATGAAGGGGAAGTGGATGAGGTAAACAGCAAATGACAGGCGGCTCAACGGTGCAAAGGGAGCCCAAGACAGGAACTTAGACACAAAGCCTATGACCAGTGAGATGGCAGTTATTAACAAATAAAAAACATAACTTTCCAGTTCAATGTAATGCATTTTAAATGCACGTTACGACACATAAGAACATGGCCAGCATCCACAGGTTTTCATAGCTGCGGAATTTTACTATTACAACCAAACATCAGTAGTGAAGCTGGAAATGTAAAAAAACGCTGTGGTGGTCTAGTACTTATGGTCTTCCACTGAGAAGTAAACCATCTCGTAATTTTGAGATGGAAGTGAAAATGCTTGAAGATAGTGTGCTTAGATTTAGGTGCATGTTAAAGAACCCCCGGTGGTCCAAGTTTCGGAACCATCGACTATACGGTGTCCCTCATAATCATATCCTGGTTTTGGGAAAGAAATTACCGAGAAGTAATACTATAAAATTTAAAAAAGGGAATTTTACTAGCATAACTAAGGGACACAAGAAATATGAACAATGCGACACTGTTTTCTGCCCTAATTTACTAGCCGTAGTAAAGACGGTGCAGCAAACATAAATCTTACGAGGCTAATGGTTAAGAGGTGGGCTTATTGGCTGTTGCAGGCTGCATTATATCGCATGTTGCTTTGTCTCTATTTCGTGAGCTTCATTTTTAGGTATTCGTCAGCAATTTCCCTTGCAAGACTTCGAAAGACAAATATTATGAATACAGAATTAAAAATCTGCGGTTAATTTTGGCCTTTAACACAAATTTACAATATAATAAATCGGGCAAACATAATAAGGAACCGCTTTTTAGGCAGTTGGGGAAGTCTTCGTCAACTATCTATGCAAAAAAGGAATAAAAGCAGAACAAACCTCCGCGTCCTGAAATGCAGGCCAACGTGATCCAGCCAATGAAAATCGACCACATGATGCGGTCGAAGAATGCCAGGGCAATTTTGCCAAGATCCGAGGTCGGCGCATCACCACTGTACCACACAGACTTTATGAAAAGGCAGCATAAGCCAGCGGCCAAGGAAAACGCCCAGCAGGTGATTTGAACCATCTACGAAACAAAATTGTGATGGTCTTTTTATCCAAAGGTTAGGAATAGAAGTGGGATGAGTAACAACTGAATATATAGTAAGAGAATTAGGGTTCTGCTGATGCATGAGACCCTAATGCTTACCTTAGACACCTTCCGCTGCCGCAAGTTGTCGGCTACAAGGTAGACGATGCAACCAGTGAAATAGCACACCGCGTGGTACGATGGAGTAATATAATACTTGTTCACAGTGTCGCCAACAGTGCTGCAGAGAAAAAGTTGACAAAGAAATGATCGATCTTCAGCTGGGAGAAACCTGAGACTTACACAGTACTCGGAAGCGAATAATGTCGTGGCGTACTGGCGTATTAGTATTCAGCAGTACAGTGACGGCGTGTTTTTCTCAGCACGGCGTAACCTTTACAGATGGGGTTTCAAAGGAAAATTAAATTATCAAAAATAAACTGTGCAATACGCAATGTGTTCAGAAATAATTCGAACTGCTAATTGGAAATTATATATTTACCGATGAAGATCTAAATAATTTTGTTCACTGCCTGTACGTAATGAATTGCTGCCGAGAAGCCGCTTTGTGTGAAATTTTAGCGTGGCGCAATTTTGATGTATGCGCTACTAAACTGTAGCGAAACTGCAATTAAGATGCACTGGTCCAATTACAGGGGTAACTGAACTCGGTTTTCTGCATTTAAGTAAGAAAAAGCAACTAAAATGCTCGTGCAGTACGTGACACCCTTTTGTGTTATTTACCCCCAAACTAGTGTCAACCTGATGCTTTAGCAGCACTTAACTCGTCTTGTGATCTCGGCGGCTACTCTTCGTGAATGGAGATACGGGACACGAAGTAACATTTCAATAAATATGTAGTTTATACGTGCTATTTAACGAAGAATTAGCTTATTTCAGACCTTTACGGACAGCCGACACAGTTTTATCTTTCGAAATTTTTGACAACCTTTAGTAAACGCTTCCGGTATATGTGAAATCGGAAATTTAGAGCAATATGGAATGAGCGATATGAACGCTCTACTCATTGGTTAATAAACGAGCCTAGCGCAAATCTTGGTGAGAAGATTAAGAATTTTTCCGGACAAGAACGAATTCGTCGTCAACTAAGACGTTTAATTATTCTGAGAAAGTCATTTGAATTTCCTTAAAGTTTTGTTGAAAATACTAGTGGCTGGCAACCACAATTTTATTTTTCATAACTTTCATATGCTGTGGTTCTCTGTCAAATCTGTGATGCTGCAATGAACACACACACACACACACACACACACACACACACACACACACACACACACACACACACACACACACACACACACACACACACACACACACACACACACACACACACACACACACACACACACACCTAAACTGGTTGCGCTGCAACGAAAACTAATGTATACAAGCGTCTAAGTTGGCAAGCCTCATAATATTTAGAATCACATCCATGCAAGCTTGTTTCAAGGAGAGGGGAGGTTGCGATTAATCTAACCTGGTGGCACGTTTAAGCCTCGGGAGCTGTTAAAAATTTTTCTGCGCAAGCATGTGTTTTACAAACGCCATGGTGATGGTCCTGGCACATTACTATAGCACGTGTGGCTGTTTATTTTTTTTTTCGGGTTAAGGGGCTGAGTGTTGTGGCTGTAGTACAAATAAATGTGCGAGGAAGCGCACGACTATTGAGCAGCAATCACGGGCATCATTTTATCTCCCGCATCCCTTTAACGCATCGCTGTTCTTCAGTATATGCATGCTGGCACTGTCTGAAACACCACTCCTGGTGTTATTACTTGAGGAAACTTCTTCAAGGCCTCATTCATGTGCCAGTTACGATGAACAAATTTGGCGCACGATTCTCACCCCGTGATTCCGCTTACGGTTATTCGGGAGCCAGTGCACGATGAACATGCCGCTGTTTTCATCAACACTGAGGACTGTGTTATGTGTGTCCAGGGCCGTTTTCAAGAAGGCCTTGTTTCACTTATACTTGTACAATTACAACTACGTAATGTGTCTAATGATGCCCATTGTATGACATAAAAGCAGTTATTGCCCTTCTCAATGTCAAGTAGGTGAGTCTTCCTACGATTCAAGCCCATACTGCTTAGAATGACGTTTGTTGATAACCATTGCCCGCTCTCGAATGCGAGCAGAGTTTGAATATTTCAGAGTATCTGTGTTACGGCGAGTCAATAAAGTTCGAGACCTCACCAAAACAAGCCTAACTCCTCTATCGTGTTCGAACAGATCATCTGCGGTTGCGCCACATTAAGTCAAGTTAATCACGCACAAGAAAACAGCCCAGCTCTTGATATAAAAGCACTCCTTACAGTCATTGGCGTGCGCCCCCGGGAAAAGGGGGGGGGGGAGGCAAAGTATACCACATAGCTTAACTTAACAGGACGGGGCGGCGATGAACCTCCCTCCTCCCTCCCTCGAAGGGGAACTCTGCTCACGCCTATGCTTATAGCTGCCTGAATTTCTGCCATATTTTGAGTTTCAACTTATCTTTTGATAAATTGGCCTGCCTGATTGCAAGAATCATGTCCAATCAACGAATACTAAGAGGCAGGAACTTTAGGACTCCAGCAATTGGGCAATGCATACTCACGCCAGCTTGCGAGCAAGAAACACCATGAAAGGGGCGATATCCCATTGAGTGACTTGCCAGGCAGAAATGCAGCACCCCACGAGCCCGAGAAAGGCAAACACTCCGATCGCCAAAGGCCTGCGGCTGCAAAACAAGTTAAGAGTGGAGAGTATTGTTCACTGTTACATGAGTGAATCAACTATAACATGCGGCATGACTGATGTAATATAGTACCAAGATTATCAGAAGCTAGAATTTGTCGTGTACATAAAAAGGTTACAGACAGAAATTACTTTCAACTGACTCTTAGACCAAGAATATTCACACATGAAAGTGGACTTACTCATACGCGCAAATCGACAAGTTTCAAAGAAACTGTCATGCTCGTACACCCTTCACCTCCCAGTAAACGTAAGTGCAAAGATATTGGCCACATGTCACGAATCTAACAAGACGATGCACCATCCGACAACTTTTTCGGCAAGCCACTCGCATGTTCTAAGAACCTCTTTGGCAGAGTATAATGAACCGTGAAGCAAAGTGATATCAGAATCGGAAAGCTGTCCCAGCCATAAGGTTTTATTTATTATTGCGATAGCAATAATGTGGACATTCTCGATTGGATTTTGCCGCCGGCGTCAGCGTCTTTCAGCGTATATGTATACGTACCTATATTTATGAAAACGCCATAACGAAAAATATTGAGAAAAAGATTCAGGCGTGCGGAATCAAACTTGGAACCTCTGCGTAGCAAGTGCGAGGCGTTAACCACTTAGTCACCGCGGAGCACGTACTTGAACGTGCAAACGGGAAGCTACATATATCTACCGTTTACCGCTAGTGACGGGAACTTCAGAGGAGGCTATTGTGCTTTCAGCATAGCAGAAATATGGCGCGATGACCGCGCAGCGGCGCGCGGCGACGCGCGCCCTCATCTTCCCCGTATACTTTGCGTCGCGGAGAGGAGTGGGTGGTTGGTACGCCCCTGCACGCACGTTTGCGCCCTCTTATTTCGTCGTTAAGCTGCCAAGCTTTCACCGGAACGATTCTGTTGTAGTTACCGGGTACACAAAGGCCACTGCAATCGTTGCACAGTCTTAGTTTGCGAAAAGAAGGTGCTTTTAAGACACATCGAAGTAACAACTGAGACACCTATTCGCGTTTATCTGTACCTGTGACTACGTTTCTTGCGTTGTTTGTGCGTGAGAAACGTGAGACGCGTTTTGATCTCCTTGCGATTCTCCGCGTGACCTTCTAATTTGTTGCTATCACGTTCATTGCTTCGCTTTGCGGCAAAGCTGCGACTTTTTTCATTTGTTCCAAATGTCATAAGGCCGTAGTTAGCATGAGTCAACTCAATCAGCGATACCATTTAACTATAGAAACACTACAATGTCCCACATACTGGCACCGCCTCTTTATAAGGTGGTGTTCTGTCCGTGCAGTTGATGTTAGTGATCAGCGTGGAAGTGAAACCATCAGTGAGGCAACAAACAATCGCGCATGATACTTGCTTTTATAAAACAATTATACAAAGTCTGAATAACAAAAGCCAAGAACAAAGATCTGCACAATCGGAAGAAAAAAATGCCAGGCCTGCGTAGAATGCGCAGCACTGTACCGCAAAAGCTCGCAGAGCGGCCTTTCAGAGCCTTTTCTTAACACTCTTTGAGTGACTGCTACAAGAAAACTTGCTGAGTACCTACTACGTCCCAAATAATAACAATTTTCGGGCTGGCATTCAGTATGTTATCTTTCATCATTCTTCGGTGAAGCGTGGTATCCGCTACACACTTGCTAGGAATGTTCTGATCTTTGCAGAGCCCGACAACGATGAATAATACTGCCTGAAGCCAGTATGTGTCGCAGTTATTCAATGAACACCTAAATAATCATATTTCTTCTGTGATAGGCTGGCATTCAGTAAGCTATATATATATCCTTTTACCTTCTACGGAGAAGCGTAGTATCTGCTACATACTCGCTAAGAATATTGTGCAATATTTTTATGCAGTGGCTGGCGACGATGAAAAATTATACTTGAAGTGGGTATGCGCCACAGTTAATAGGTGAACAAGAACACGCTTTTGTAATTGGTTGGATCATGGGACGACGTACACTTTACGCAACTCCCATTGTGTGACGCCTGATTCTTCCATTGATGTTTTAAAACGCTGTATTACTCATATGAGCGCGATTTCTTTCTCGACACAAAGCTGGCCTGAGGTGAGTTTTGAAATGAGCTTAAAGTGCCGGCGTGGCTCAGTGGTAGAATACTGGGCTGGCGCGCTGGTGACCCGGAATCAAATGCCATTGCGTTCTGGTGTGTTTATTAACTGAGCTTTTTTTTCTTATTTCTTGTGATGTTGGTTACGGAAACCAGCGGTGGTGGCGGCGGACAACTTTGCTGCCGCACGTGAGCTGTGTTCTAATCTAATAAGAGCTTTCGCTGTAAAACTTTCTGGCCAATGAAACAGTGTAATACGCAGTTTTAACGCGATAACGTTAGAGAGCTCGTGTCGCAAAAATTCCGCCTTCGGTGGCGGCACCGTTGGCTGTGAGCGAGAAATCGTCCGTGAGCGAAAAATGGAGAACGAAGCAAATAAAGTAAAGAATAAAATTTTTGGTCCCATCGAGGATCGAATCCTGGCTTTTCGCGTGCAAGCAGGTGTCTAACCACAAAGCCTCGATATTTTTTTCTTCATTACCTGGCTTTGGTAGTCAACATATTACGCCACCGACACAACAAACTCACACAAAATATGATGAATACACATAGTGACTGGTAAGTCAACCAGAGCTGTACTGGTATCGTCAGGTTAAAATTCGGATAAAGTCGCAAGTTGTTTTACCCTTGAGAGCCAGTCTGGTGGTTCTGGTGCAGCTTGTTGGATATCTGGAAACCAATCAACACTTTCACGAAAATACTTTTTTTGCAGGCCGTGCGTCGTTGCCAAACTGGTAGCCTGCCATTCTTGATCTCCCCAGAGAGTGGAGGCCCAGCAGCATATTGTCATCAAAAGGTACTTCCTTTTCACTGACAACATTCAGGAACCGAATTCGGTACGGGTCTAGATGTAGCTCTTTCTTTATAGCGCTGCAGCACGTTCCAAAAATAAATCACCTCCCAACAATGCAAAAATACATGATAAATAGATTCCGGTTCTTCGCAAATGAAACATTGTGTTCTCCATTGCAAACAAATCCCTTTCTCTGAAAAAATGATTTTACTGGTAGAGTGCCCGTATGCCATTTAAAGAAGAAAGCTTTGACAGTAAGCTCCAGATACATTTTCACAAAGATATGTTGTTATTTACTGCTGCTTTGGCAAAAGACACTACATAAATGCCGTGAACTGGAAGAAGCCGCCTAAACGCATTTTGTTCGACAGGTTTCACGACGACAACGAGCCCATTCGGCGATATATAGGCGCATTTGGGAGGCCATGAAACTACGCTGAAAAAGGCCGGGATAGTGCAGCCATCGCCGCTACAAACACATAAGAGCTTTCAAACAGCTCTAAAAATGGACAACTATGTCCATCTAGCGGAAAACATATCATGCCTTTCAGAGGCGTTGATCAAGCAAACAGCAAACCGTGGATAATGTGCTGCCATCTGTGAGGTATTGTAAGACTCTTTATGGCCTCCGAATGGCGAGCGTGGGGCGTGTATCTTGGAGGCCATGCGACTGTTGTTTTAGATCAAAAACCTGTATGTATCTTTCGCGCGCGCGCGCGCGCGCGCGCGTGTGTGTGTGTGTGTGTGTGTGTGTGTGTGTGTGTGGGTGTGTGTGTGTGTGTGTGTCATCTATAAGACATTGTGAAAAACGTGTCTCAACTACAGCAGAGCGCCGTTCAAGCAGAGGGAAGTGGCCACACTGCAAAGTCACTGATTACTAAATATATGCGCGCGTTTGTGTGTGTGTGTGTGTGTGTGTGTGTGTGTGTGTAAGAAAACATAATATTAGGTATGCACTTAGCGGTTAAAGGATGCACTAGGGGCCGGATTTTACTATTGCGTTTAACTCTGAAAGGCGAAGCTCAAAGGTCAACTCCGGTGATTTTTTGACCATGTAAGGATAGCGGTGCTTTTATGTTCCTGAGACACTCTTGTCACGCGTCCGACAGCTGAAATGCTCAACAAGTTCTAAAGTAATTTGTAATTTCCAAAAAACCGCAATACCAAAACCGAAACCCCCCTGAGTGCGCTTCCACGTGTGACGTAATCATTTGCGTGACGCTGCCCGGGAACCTGCCTGATTGCGTATAATGCCCACCAGATAGATCTACTTGTCTACGCCAGCTGTGGTGGTCGGCTCAAATGCTTACGCTGTTATGTGAATATATGGCGAATCCTGTGTGGCTCACAACGCAACACCACTGGCTATCTATCACACGCCCACCAAAAAGGAAAAGGAAATCGCATGCTCAATCAAGGAAGCGCCAACTCAACCCACATAATCCATACCATACAAACAGATGCTGCAGTGGCACATCAGTTCCGTCACTTCCACCAGGCAAAACTGAACGTCACAATCACAATGTTGCCAATAATTCCGACAAGTGAGGCGAGCATTTTGAGGCAAGCAATAAAATTCATTTGAAAAGAGTTTGCGAAACTATCAAGCCTGTAATTTTGCATGAATGGTGCAAATTTGAAAATGAATGAACCCATTGAATTTTATTGAGATCCACTGACCTCGAAAAATCACTGGAGTTGGCCTTTAAGGGTCACCAAAATTTTTAATTTCGCATGTGCATATGCATATATAAACTCCATGAATTGTGACACCTTTTTGTGCGTTACGCACTATGTGCCACGAACACTTACAATATCGCGTGCGCGAAGGTTCAAGTGTTGACGTCTGAAATATACATGGTGTTTGATTAGGAATGCCTATTCAAATCATACGTCAGCTGTCGTGCAACTCATCACAGTCGTTTTTTTTTTTTGATGGAGAGCTAATGTCAAAGTGAAGTTTTCTACACATTTTTCTTGTACAATGCACCACATGTGTGTACGTCAAGTGGTCGTTTCATTGTTTCAACGAGTAATTACCTTCGTAACTTCGCAGCTTTTTCGCGATTGTTGTTTCCTATAAGCGCTTCGCCGTAATGTATCGGCATCTTCTGTTCGATGACTACCGCTTCCTCACAGCTGTTGTTTCCACTAGCACAACAAATGAACAGCAATGGTCATCGATATATTCTCTCACCGTACCTGACCACAACGAATTCCAAAAAGAGTATTAGTTTATGTCAATGTTCCACTTACTGTGCCCCATCTATACATGACAGCGAAATAATCCTTTGCTTCATGATAAGAGGAAGGATCGACTCGTGGGCAGATAAACACGTCAAGAAAAAAAAAAGACGAGAAAGGGGGCCAATACTAAGCCTTGGCGTATCAACCACTGCACTATATTCTGAAGCGATTTATTTACCATGTGGGTAAATCACAGGCAAGCAGGTAAATCAAAGAATGCATCACAGTGTGCTTACTTCTTGAGGAGCAGGAACAGAGCAACGCCCACAATGAAGAATTGGTAATCCACGGACAGGTACCACAGGTGTGGAAGCACAGTCTGCAATCACAATACAAAAGAAATCGTACAGTGAAAGTGACGTGTTTAGCTACATTACTGCGCGCTTATTTTTGGTACAGTTACACAGGCCATTATTATGCCATTGTTTTTTTCTTTGAGTGGGCAATTTAGTGTGAAACGAGACTGTAACCTGCGCAGAAAGATAAAGCTCGGTGCACTTAAAAGCGTGAATTCCCGCGTGCATTCAAACTGAAACTCTACTCTTTGTTCTACGCTCGTATTTATGTGAAAAAACAGACATCACACAGTGCTTTGCGTGCTTCTCTTTATACTTGAATTCACAAGAAACTCTAGATATATAGTCACTGGTAGGAAATTTTGATGAGCCCATTCTTATGAATACAAGCTCGAAACGAGCTCGTTTATATTTTTGCAACTCCTAAAACGTGTAACACATATAGTCATAATATTGATTGTTAACACCGTTTATAAAGATAGTCATTAACGTCAAAAGCATATTTGTTCATGTGTTTTCTTTCTCGTTTTTAAAAGGAACAATGTCGATCCCGACAGCAACTGTGCATGCGCACTTTCACTCGTACTATGTGGATAACACAGTGCTTGAATGAAAATAGGGTTACTGAACTAGGCTTGAAGCTGGTAGTAAAAAGTACTTTTATCGTACTCAAAATGAACAAGTTACCCTGAGTCCCACGTAGTAAAAGTTCCGGATTTGAAGCAACCACTGCCACCAGTGTGTGTGCAGTTCTTCATCCATTTTTTCAAAGAAGTTCTTTGCACCGGGGCCGGTCAGGATAAGCGGCAGCAAATATATGCACATCACGACAAAGAATAAAGGAACAGTGGTCCTGTTGAAAAAAAAATATTCGTTTTAGTGGCATTTTCCCCCAGTAAAATATTGATTTTTATACTCCAACATTACGAACATAGGTAACATGTATATTTTGAAAATATTTTGCGCACGCCGGACACATGCGGATAAAATCCAATGTTCTTCCGGCAATAATGCACACAATAAATTATTTTGTGAATATTTTGCCTACCTACTGACATTTCCTCACAGACAATTTTCGGCGTTCATTTTCTCACGTATAACAGTGTTCTCTTTTCACGTTGGTGCAGTGCTTTTGCTAATCAAGGAAGGGATGTCACCGCTTTATCTACCCTGAATACTTTTTACCCTCAATTACGATGGGTGAAGAAATATGTGTGTCGTACAATTTAAATAATACGACAAATTTTACCAAACTCAAGTAATGCAGTCAATTGCAGTCAATATATCCGATATTTGCGCTCTTTTTGGTGGCGTCCAGGGCATTGGGGAAAACCGAAAACAGTTCTGTACTATAAATAATGCAAGAATAATATCTGGTCATCCCATGTTTGCCACATGGTTCTTCTGCGATAAAACACCATATATTATCATCATAATTATATTCACTATCATTAACTTAGTCACAAAAAGTGCAGTAACGATTTGGTGTAGTTTATTATCCACAAATACCGCCTTGATAGTGGCATGAAGTATCAGCACACTCTAGCTTGTTTTTAGTTGTTGTTTTTTTTGTCGTTTTTTTTGACGCTGCTAGAGGAAAAATACTGACATGATTGATCAAACAATTTCGGCTTACTCTGTAGGACCACAAAGCCGGATTTAAAGTATGAGAAAAGAGAGACCAACTTACCTCACAAGCCTACGAATAAGTGCAAAAACGAACACCCTTAATCCATTTGTATGTTGTTTGTCGATGACTAGACACATCAGGAACCCACTGGAACAAGAATAAACAAGTTCAGATATGCGCGTATTATTCAGAGCGCACTAAATAAATGGAAGACTAATGCTAAAGCAAGTAACAAGTTTCAAGGGTTTCCGATCTGTGGTGCTGTTGTTCTGGAGAAATGAAGACGCCTTTCTTTTACACCACGTGATGGAGTTAACAATTTCGGTATAATATTAAACACGAAAGTTTTGTTATGTTAGAGTCTAGCGAAAGTTAACTGCCAACATTTTCGTCATGGAAGTGTCGTATGTAAGATGTACCCGAAACGATGTCAAAGATAAACTACAAGTTTCATTGATTTGGATGCCCAAGCAATCAAACCCACGAACTCTTGGTCCGCGACGAAAGACGCCCAGCGCTTTTTTTAGTACGCCACCGGCGCACAAGCACAAGGCTCTATAAGCGCGCCCTATGTCTGTCACGTCTCCCTCTGCCTTAATTAAAGAAGGTGCAGTGCGAAGGAGATACGGACAAGAAGTGAACGAGGATGGACGCAGTAATGTTCGTTGGTTGGGTGGTGTCGCCGTATAGAAGCGGTACAGTTATGCACCGCATCATTATCCTAATAAGAGCCGACAGTGAGCGCTCTGGTTGTTTCAGCACAACGGAGGCTTGCAAGGCGTTTCTGCAGGAAATTCTATGGTCATGCAATGCGCCGTAGGCAATTATTCGGTGTGGTAACTACACATTACGTATACTTCGCCTTTCGCACCGTGTAAGCGTGATGACTAGTCCACAGTGTAACGCAGCATCCGCATGCATCAATGGTGTTTCCCCGCCACCTTTTGCTTTGAGTGCGATAGCAGGGGGTGAAAACTCCCTATGCCTCCCATGTATTAGCTCTCGCATGCAGAACGCAGTGGCAGCGCCACTTTTGCCACTGGTGGTGGCTGGGCATCTTACTAAAATAAATCACGAATAGAAAAGTTCTTTCATGACGTCACTGGTGAGATCGTTCAATAGAGAAAAAAGAACGGAAAATCAAGAGTAGGAGTGTTCCTGTGGAACCCCTCCTTTCCCACTTTGCATGCAAGCGGAATGCGCCCATGTCTTCATGCAGATCCGCTGGGTGCTTGGGCGATGCGGCCGTTGGTAAAATTTTGTTAAATATTGTTAATGAATGAACTTTTTTATTATACGCTTTGTATAAAAGGAAACAGACACCTCCACGCAGTGCGCAAGTGTCAATCTATTAAAGCAGGTTTAACTTTGAACTGGCATACGCACATAATCTGGAAACATCGAACCCAGAATATCCAACCCAATGCAAAAATTATCAAAAATCGCGAGTAGCACACTTCTTATTTGACTCAATCACATTTTCTATGAGGCGCATAGTTTTCTTACAGAATTTGTGTACCAAACTAGATTGAAATTCAGAGGCATGGAAAGGCTTGAAGCGATCAGAAGTTTTTTGAGAAAGAAAGCCACTGAAAACAGTGTTTTCTGCAAGTTGACTGGTCCTCATCGGGGCAACAGCATTGCTTTGACGAAGAAAAGTTTCCTTGTGAAAACGTTGGCTCCACCAACATTCCTTGCAATAACTTTTAGAAGCTTTTATTCCACCACATGTATTTGAATGACTGTATTGCAAGTAGACTCACAAACTTTCAAACCATAGCTACAAACATTTCATAAGCAGAAAGCAGCCTATAATTAATTGGCATAATTTAAACGACCCGCTAAAAAGTAAAAGAAGCTAAAGTAATGTAGCTGAGCCAACTCAAATTGAAGCCTTCCAATAAATGCATTTTCCCGACCGCAGCTTAGCTGCCGTCTTCAGCGATTCGTCAAGCTACACTGATTGATTAATTGATTGATTGATTGATAGGTGGTGTTTAACGTCCCAAAACTACCATATGATTATGAGAGACGCCGTAGTGGTGGGCTCCGGAACTTTCGACTGCCCGGGGTTCTTTAACGTGCACTCAAATCTGAGCACACGTGCCTCCAGCTTTATCGCCTCCATTGAAAATGCTGCCACCGCAGCCGACATTCCATTCCGCAACCTGCCGGTCAGCAGCCGAATACATTTGCCACTAGACTAACGCCGCAGGACTAGTCAAGCGACACTGCACTTCTGTCAGTCCAGTCAAGCTGGCAGAGAACTGGGTTTTCTATGTACTCATGTGAAATCAATCAGCTCAAAGAATGGGTCCCAATTCTTGAACTCCCCCCTTGGCTTTAGGAAACGCTGATAAACAATCACGGAACTAGAAATCCTTGAGTTAGCACCACACAGAGCTGCGGAAAACGTCTGTTGCCTGATTTAGCCATCTTTGATGAATGCGTGGTTTACTTGTTCGGCGTATATCACTGCGGCTTCCGTTGTCTGCCCACCACAACATGCTGTATTTATCTCACCCGCAGTTGGCACGCCAACTGAGCGAGATAACTGTGCGCGATACAACTTTTAATACCGCTGATCGAGGGAAAGGGAGTAGTGGTGGCTAGTGCTTCGAGCTTATGTCAATCCCTTCCTGCGCTTCAGTTGATTTAAAGTTCACAAAAGAAAAATAGGAGAAAACATACAAACAAATGAGAAGTTCCTTACAGGGGTATCATTTTTTTATTTGTAAGAACTTGTGAAAGCCAATAAATGCAAATACTCACGGTAAACCTCACACTGTTCAACCGAATTTTAGGATGCCCGGGAACCCCTACGAGCGTGCATGTTCCTTGAAACCAAAACTAGCACGGAGTTTCTGGGGCCTGGCAATAGCAGCAGCTAATAAAATTGCTGAAATGAGTCCCCTAGAAAGCCATAGAAGACCGGTGAAAGTCGTGCAGTGAGTGATTTGGTGCAGTGAGAGAGACGACAGCAGTGAACACTTGCCCGCATGCATGCCTCGAGCTAAGAGCTCTGCCTCTCACGTTCTTGAAGTGCTGTGTGGCATCTACGCAAAAGCACAGATGTAGGGTTACATTTTACGCGGGAGCGCACGCCTTCGCGTTTGTCACGTCAAATGACAATGGTTTCAATAGGTACACATCAAGTGCCAGTGCTCACTACGTGCTTGTAGATTCATAAGGCAGCACATGTATACACAATATACAGGAAGTGAAGTTTTTTTTTCGTTTGTAGGCATATGTTACGTTCTCGAAACAGTCGGCAAGAGAAAATGTCTGGGGTTTATGTTTGCAGTGGCAAGGTGTGGAGGTAACTTTAACGGATGGCGCGTTTAAAAAGAGAGGGCTGGTTCAAACAATAAGGATTTAGAACTCGAGGCATCGCAAGCGTACTTCGAAGTATGGTCTGCAGATCTGTGTTCGAGTGCTTGCATTTTTGCAACTACTTAGCAAAGAAGCGTCACCTTCTCGGCCCTGCACTCAACTTTCCGGGCACTGCACTTTCACAGCACAACAATGGAGCTGATGCAGCAAATGTAGCCTATTCGAAGAGAGGAAAAGTGAGAATGATATTGAAAGCATCGAAATAAAGAATCTCTTCAGCTGCTTAACAGCTTACTAAAAGCAATGTTGCCGTTACTGTAAATGTTCTTGCTTTTTTTACCTTTCTGCTAGTTCGGACACCTGCGACATTCATTAAGATCTTTTTTAAAGGGCAAAGCTTCCTATGACATGGCTTGTGCATCCCCCGTTGCCATAGTACGGAACCTGTGGCACATACCCACATACCAGTGGCACATACCCGCATACCAGTGGCACGTACCCGCCCTCGGGCACATATCCGCATGTCCACATGTTACGAAAAACGTAGCATGGCGTCCTTATCATGCTCTAGGTGTTAAAAAAGCGCTGACGGCAGAAATTTGGTACGTACTCTCATTTATTACTTGGATTGTCCGCTTTATGGCAGTACTTGTATATGATGAGTATGGGATAAAAAGAACCGAGAATGTGGTACTTGAAGTTTTCACTAGATGAACTGATGGACAGACAGACAGACAAGTGAATGGACAGACAGACACGCGGACGGACGGATGGATGGGCGTACGTATGAATGGACCGCATGGACGTACGAATTGCACAGAGGGATGCAGATGCACAGATGCAGATGCACAGAGGGATGCACGGATGGATAGACGAACGCTTCGCTTCACTTGTCATCATTAACTCTAAGGAAATGCTGTGTTTTTATGTTTCCTTGGTTTATTATTATGTCATTTTTAGCAACCTCTGATATTACTCACCAAATGAATTTCTTATAATAAAGGAGACACACGTTGGTATATTTCTGATGTGGCAATGAAATGTTCACGTACCTGATGAAGAAGAACGTGTCGACGAGAACAAATCCTGCAGTCACGAAAATGCTCATGTAATACTCAGTCAAAATTAGCAGGTTTAATGTGCGAGCTGCAAGAAAGGATAATGGAAGGGTTACATTTCTTAGTTGTAATTAACTTCAAATAAAATAAACGAAAAACAGGTTTCTTTAACCATAATTTGAAAGCCCACAAATCTTGGCACTCAAGCAACCCAAAGTTTAAATTACAATACCTAGGCAAGAAAAAGAACTATTCTCTGTGAAAGCAACGTTACGCGCTGCAACATTAAGATAAATTCCTTTCTAGGAACGCTTTGAAGTGGTATAATGAAGTGCAGTTATGCGACATCATGTGAAGTTTTTCAAGAAACCGAGCACTGTAAACTTGTAAGGCTAGGTGCAGTCAAGTGAGAGCATCACGACTGTCCTCAGAGAACATGCAAAACAATTTTTCTGCACTTCTAGTGAATACACTGTTTTTACACCCAACTGCCTTTTTACTAGGCTAGAGCAAATTTATGCAGTGCTTATCACAAGAACCTGCACGTAGCGCACTATTTGAATATGCTACAAAATGTTTACATGGAATCATTTGCTCGCAAATAGGTGCTATAGTCTTTTCGTCAGCATTATAATTCTCACTCTTTAATGGTAAGAGCAGCTGCCCTTTAAACTCTTCTCGCCATTCACAAAATCGCATGTTGGTTGAAATGTCAGTTTGTTTACAATGAACAATAGCGGCTCCTTTGTTTTCCCTCTCTTCCCTGCCATTCAATGTTGACACACAAAAAACTCCCCTTTTAGGAGCAGCAGCTCGGTAGACATTGCGGCTAATGAAAAACTGTTCACCTTTCATTCCGATTTTTGTAAAGCATGGCTTAGGAATCGCAAGGTTCCTTCTGCAATCTGCCAGACGTCCATCACATTAAGCGGTGTGACAAGCGTAACTAAGCATTACTGGGGGAAAAGTGTTGCTTTGCATCTAAAATTATAGCTATATCGCAATTGAGCTCAAATGAAAACTTTTTTTTTCAGTTTGTCACAGTAAATTTCAATCATCTCAAAATTTTGTGTTGCTGCATGCATAAAGTAGGATTGTGTAAAACTTGCATCACTGAAATATTGATTACAAAAGAATGCACTCTTCTTTGGCGCACGTATTACACTTACACCACACGTCTGACATGATACCATAGCTGTGGCCAAGGACAATTGACACCAAGCTGAAGAAACGCAGTCCGTGAATAAAACGCAGATCAAAGTCACCAGCATTTTTTTGGCGCTTGACGGTGAATATGGCACGGCTGTTGTGCAGCGCAGAGAAGGAGGTGACATACTTGAGCCATGCGCCTAGAAAACAAACGCATTGATTACAGATTTGTATATACACTGCTGAAAAATTAAATAAAGTAGATGCCACAATCTCTTGAGGGGTGGTTATTGCTGCCGCTGAAGGCGCGGCGATGCAGGAATACTGGGAATTAATAGGCCGACGAATAGGCTCGCGTAGTCACCACTGCAGTTTGCGCACAAGACTTTTATTTAAATACATATAATCAGAGTTTCCTTGACCTGATGTAACTCAAACGACGCCTTCACACGTGGTGCCTATTAGTTACGTCAACCTATTCATACTGTGGCCCCACGTTTCAATCAATGCTGGATTTTTACTGCACGTGTTATCTTTGTGCGTGCTTTAATAAGCTTGCTGCTAGCACGTCGTCTTGTCTTATTCGTGCTTCGGTGTTGTCGTTTTGTTTTTGCACAATATTTCATAATCTCGGTTTATGTGACAAGAAAACTGCAGGAATTCGCCAAGGACAGGGTGTCGACACGCGTCTTCTTCAAGGCTGCGACCACTCTCCTTAGTGCGTGTGCGATTCTGCTCGTGGGCATTCTTAACAAAATATTTCAGCTAATCCTGGCACTGGGCTTATTATTACTGAAGCCGGCCGACCAATGACAACAATAACTTACAAAAAAGAGAGAAGTTTGGTCAATTTGGCCCCCAATTAGGAAGCTTTCATCTCAGGTGCCATGTCATTGCTATAGTTAATGGACATACAATGTTTCAAGTCACGTTTTCTGAACGAGCAACACGGAACTAGAAAAAAAGATACCTCGGGTACTTCAGCCTTCTCAAATCAAAGAACATACGAGGGGGAAAAGCAATGGTCTGGTTGGCCACCTGGCCACCACTGTCACATTGAATTTGACATTTGAGCACCCATTGCCTTGAAGTTAATTTCAAGTCTGTTGAGAGAATAGATTGTTTGATTTATTTATGGACACAAATATTACAGATAAACGAAACAAACAAGATGCGCTTCAGTGCGTGCAGCTTTTTGCCCCAAAGCCATCCATACAAAAAAAAAAACATTTTAAACAGTGCCGCATGCTCTAGAGTAATTCGTTGAAAGAAACGGTGAGTTTGTCGCAGACTTACTTTGGCTGCTTTTCTCAGTCTTTTTTCTAGATGCGACGTAGATCTCGACGACAGTTCCAGCTCCAATAAGGATGCTAATGACAGCCAAGAAGGCTCTTAAAAATGAAAATGATATTGTATTAGCTTTTATCCTAGAGTTAATTGTCGAATGTGTTGTTTACGCTGAATTCGATACGAGTTGACAAGTTTAATACAACCAAAGCAGCCCTCAGCTTGCAATCTCGACTAAATATTATAAAGTGATGCTATTGATAAGAACACAAAGCTATGGAGCCTAGAGTGTTTTTTAACTAGAGCTCACAATGGCAAGCATACACGTCAGTGCTTGCATATGAACTCAAATCAATGACAGAAAAGCAAATGGCAGGGACGTGGTATCATCAAAATTCACTATGAACAGGAATCAAAGTATGAGTGTGTATTTCAATGATTAAAATAGCACCTACATGGCTGCGAAAAAGATCAATATAAGTAGCATGCAAGCTAACTATCGCAGCTGCTATAGCTGCCCGGAATCTAGACAATTCTGGTTGTTATTCAAAATGAGTCATTTATTCATGAAATGTTGTACAGTAGAATACGTAAGTTCTTCGTTGCATACACCACCTATAAATGATACTCACATTATCGCAATCTGGCCAGGGGTCATCACCACGTCGTCGATCGTGGTGCAGCTTTCTACTTCGATTCGAAGCGGTTTAGGCCTCACTGCGGTTCATTCGTTTGTAAAAAATGTAAAAAATGAAAAAGGGCCAATGTTTTTACAATTTTAGAGCACAACTGAAACACAAATTTCTCAGTTGATTTGATAAAAAATTGTCCTTCTTCGTCTCATTGTTGCCACTATACAAATCCCTTCACACTCCTGCACAAAAATTTCAAGGGTACCGCCAAAAGAAAATTCCGAAGGGCCAGGTGGAAGCTTGCGAAGAGAAATAGGAAAACAGGAAGGTGGGTGTTGAAGCCGACGTTTCAACAAGCGAACTTTTCTTTTTGCAACCTTGAGTGAGAAAAGTGCACTTGTGGAAACGCCAGTTGCAGCACCCAGCCCCTGTTTAGGTGTAACGTGTTATTTTTAGCACACAACGTGATCCTCGATAGACGAAAATGTGCTAAAAATATTAGTTGCCTGTAGGTAGTATCTGTAATTGGCAAGTGTCATGGTAGTAAAATTATAATGTTCAATCACTACATACGTGGTGAATAGTGTGAAGCTTGAAATTTAGTGTAACAACGTAATTTCTTTAAAAACTGATGGCTTCAGAGACCACATTTTGGCACATATTTGTGAGTAGAAGTACAATGCATCATTGTATTGAACCACTCAAGGTGACATTGCCTACCAGTGAAGTAGTAGCAAGCCAGAGTGAATTTCGTCTTGTAGTGACACACTGAGGGGTCAGCCGCTCAAGAAAGACTCCAGCTTACTACGCCACGTAGGTAGAACGAATGCACTGCATGCATAGTGCTTTGGCAATCATATTTCATCTACCTCTTGTGGTTTTTAGTACCATATCATTCGGGGGCAAACCGCCTTATTAACCCACACCATAACATTGCTCCTGCGAAACTTAATCGGATTCTGTTGATTTTTATCAGGTAAGTGTAAAACCTACACTTCAACTTTTAATTTAAAAATGTTCAGGAACCACTGGCAAGTTGCCCATTTGTAGGGGTCATTTTTAAAGCACTTTTTCGATCTCGACAACCACTTTTTATGAGCTCAATAATTTCTATCTACTGCTCATAAATTAAATGCCGTCAACGTCTCGCGATGTTGAAGGCGTGTTGACGACAATCCAGCGTCAAATAAAGTGCCACTCTGGAGCTAGCATGAATTGTACGTAATTCCAAACACCGGCGTATGATAAAATTTTGAATTGATTTTCTTGTGATTCTGGTTAAAGTGGGAGCTACATCCAGATACTGGGTATTTATATATTTTCTTCTTTCCTTTTTCTTCCATTCTTTGTTTCCTTCTTTGTTTCTTGCTGTCTCTCTTTCTTTTTGCTTTCTTTCTTTTTGTCCGCTTATTGAATTCTACTGGAAAAACGTTTTTCATAGTGTGGGAACCACACACACCAGCTATCAAGAGATAGCACCACGTGTTGCGCAGTAGCGGTGCGCGGGGACGCCTTGGCTGCCACGAAGGACGGAGGCTGTCACCCGCACTGGCCGATCGTTGCTGCCGCGGAATCATGGTCGTTGCGTGGCTCTCTCATCCCTGGGACGACCCTGCCGTACACCGTGTCTAGTTAAGTGCATGTTGTTGTTTGTTTCTGACGTGAAGCTTGCATCGTCCTTCCTCTACGTATGGACGGGACGCGGCAAGCCCCATACCCACAGTTTTGGGGCTTGCTGTGTCCCGTCCGTACGTAGAGCAAGGACGACGGAAGCTTCTCGTCAGAAACAACAACATTTATTTAACTAAACACGGTGTATGGCAAGGTCGTCCCAGCGACGAGACAGCCACGCTACGACCATGATTCCACGGCAGCAACGATCGGCCAGTGCGGGTGACAGCCTCCGTCCTTCGTGGCAGCCAAGGCGTCCCCGCGCACCGCTACTGCGCAACACGTGGTGCTATCTCTTGATAGCCGGTGAGTGTGGTTCGATTGATATGTGGGGTTTAACGTCCCAAAACTACCATATAATTACGAGAGACGCCGTGCGCGTGGTTCCCAGAACATTCAAGATTGAATAACAGGAGCTAGACGGAAGGAAAAAAAAAATTCAGTAATAGTGTGAACGAGCAGGGGTTGAAATAATTTCTATTTGGCACGTCTTCCCGAGTTCTTGCTCTGGTTTGAATGACTGTGCATTTCCCTTAATTTAATTACCCCCTTTCATCTATCTCTTCACATAATTTCTTTTCTGAAAACTACTCTTCTCGTACAATCACGCTTTTTTCAGGGAACAATGATGATTTCAGAATTCCCTGTTTGCCTTCTGACTTATAGTACTCAGCATCGACTGTTACTTAGTGAGGGGTTCCAGCCAACTGCTTGGACAAGGACAGAAAGGGACACGACACAGTGCTGGATCCTCCTCTGTTGGTTCAGTTGCTAGTGCAGCAGTGTGTCATCTCCCCTAACTTCCTCGTCCAAGTAGTTGGCAGGAACCTCTTGATATGTGCCACCGACGAGCTAAGCAAGCACAGTTTAATTCGACTGTTACATTACTATTTATTTTTTGGATTGATTAACAAGACACCGGTGAAAAAATCTTTGAAGCGAACTAAAATAACAGACGGACAGAAGAAGCTGACAAGGACAGCGCTTGCTGTTCTTGTGAGCCTCTTCTGTCCGTCTGTTTTTTCTTAGTGCGCTTCAACAAAATATTCAATTATGAACGCAATTCAACTGGCCCAACTTGCCATCTTGCTGCAACACCGGTGGCTTTTTTTTTCAATAGTATTGATTGATTGATTTGTGGGGTTTAACGTCCCAAAACCACTATTTGATTATGAGAGACGCCGTAGTGAAGGGCTCCGGAAATTTTGACCACCTGGGGTTCTTTAACGTGTTCAATAGTATTCCCGCCATTCTGCCCGTATAATTCATCTTCCGGCCCTGCTCTCAAACCATCTACATATCTGTGCAGCATTTTTCTTGTATTAAGAACAAAAACTTTTCATCATTATAGCGTGATAAGAACATTCCAAATTAAGATCATGTATTTTTTAAATGACAGAAGTTCACTTGCCTGCATTGATGATGGCTTGCAGATCTTGTTTATTGCAGTCGTTGGTAATGCAGACGCCAAGGCGTGTCACGGGGACTTCGTCAATGAAAAAATAATCCGTGTATTGCTTAATCTGAAAGTTGTTGGAACAGGTGTTTTGTGCCAAGTTCTACGTAAAAAGAATTATTGTATAAAGCTACAATTCAAGCTACTGTAATCGTGGTAGATGAGACACGTATACCCTATTACATTCCAGGAAACTAAATGGTTTGTTATGAAAATTGGTACATTATTTTGGTTGCCTAGGACAGCCACATCTATTAACTGACAGATTCTGGGAATCTGGTTTGATGCAAGAGTTACGGAGAAACTGCGCCGGGCAACGTCAGACCAAAAAATAAAAATATAAAATTACACAATCTTTTGCTTAGAATATACATATTTCTAACTATCACACTCTGTAAATAGAGAAACAAGGCAAGGCACACTGTAGTGAGCGTCACACAATAAAGGCTTCAGAAGAACACGAAAAATCTGAGGCACGTGCAGAATGTGGGGCGTTGTTTGCATAGATATCCTGCAATGTTTGTTCTGAAGAACACTACTCATGAAACACTCATGAAACGCTACGACATAATATTGCGCAGCTGCGTACTTACGGCGATTCTGTCAGAAGCAACACTTCTGGAATATTTTAAGGAGGTCTGTGTACACTATGGTTATAGGATGAACTTAAAACTCTCTTTGTCCGCTTGGGAAGCCGGATATTTCGTTTGAATATAAACCTAAAGCAGTTCTAAAAATTGATATTGCATTTTCGAAAAAAAAAATTGAAGGAGAAAAGTGTCTGCCCTACGAAAGTATAGTTCATTTATTCTCTAGTGGTCGGAACCCTCGTCTTTTTATTCCAAATTGTGTGTTCTCATTTCGCGTCTTGTTACTGCTTTGATTTTTGCTGTGTTTTTCTTACCGTTAAATGCCATGCACTATCAACAGCAAAAGTATTCTGGACGTTGGATTCACAACAAATGCTAATTTTGGCTATATCAGTGCCTAATGCTTGTAATCAAGTAGGTGACTGTATAGATCAGAATTCCGTGCGCAGTATGAAATATTTTTCTTGAAATCACATTCCAAGACAAAGCGGTAATTAGGTTTAATGAACATTTCACGCTTCGCAAGCTTTGCTGTTGATAGTACCTGGGTGAACATTAGAAGAAACCATGCATTGATTTCCTGGAAGTTATTACCGCCAGATACACTGCTCTGAGATACTTGTTCCGTATGATAGAATGCTTACGAGTGGGTGCAGCACGTCAAGTGACGAGATACGCTTTTTCAGGGCGCGGTTCTCTTTCAGGTGGAACAGCACGCTGCAGTATTGGCCACGAGACACTTCTAGGCCGTAGTTGTCGTGCACTACGGTTTCCAGACACTCGTCGAAAGCGCCAAGATCAGCCTTGGTTGCCTGCAGCAGCCCTGATGGGTACTTTCCGGATGCGTCGAACACTTCAAGAGGAAGAAAAAAAGTTTTAATTTTTTATGAGTAGAAAGAACCGCACAAATGTGATGCTAATAACTTTTTCCATCAATAGAAAATTTGTATTAAAAGTCGAGCTTCTTATGAATGTTGGTTGGCAATCCCATTTTTCTCAATGTTCTTTTTTTTCTTTCTCGCTGTGATTGCGATGTTTTTTTATGATCCTCTAGTCACTACACAGCCCCCCCGGCATGTAACATGAGGTGGTTTGTAGTATTGGTAAATAGAATAATAAGTAATTCAGTGCAAGAAATACTGTAGGAAAAAAACCAAACAGAGAGAAAACCGAAGCAAACGCTACGAATACTTCGCAATAAATCCGCACAGACCGTGTATTGCTCACAATCTTGCAATGCCATATGTTAAAGTGTGGGTGTCTAGAATTCACTTTACTTTTTAAATCACCTTGATGATACATGAGCATTCCGAGTATGTTGTGGCATGCCTCAATTTTTGACGACAACACCTGTGCTTTCGGACCTGTGCCGCTCTATACGGTGGTCAGTGGTTGTGCTTCTCAGCGGCTGACCTCGAAGGCACGAGTTCGATTCTGGCCACCACTGTCGCATTTTCATAGAAGCGAATCGCCTGACACCTGCATACTGTGCAATGTCAGCGCATCTTAATAAACCCCAGGCAGTCGGCATCATCTGGAGCTTCAACTGCAGCGTGTTACATAAGCTGACATGCTTTGGGGCGTTAAATCCTATAGATCAACCAGTTGCATTCAGTAATTCTTACCATTAATTTTTAGAGAGTTGACCCTTGTATAGCCTGAGAGAGGACCCACCTGTCTATCTCGTGTGAAATATTGTTGCTGCAAGAAAGAGGTGAGAACGGCGGCCGCCTTTACCATGCTGCAGTTACGACGTCTACTATGCAAGTTATTGGGCGACATACCGCATCTTAATAATATTCTATAAGAATATATAAACACAACTGAAAATCCACACGCTAAGATGCCACGAATGCCAGTTGTTCTACAAAGGTTTAGTTCTTTTTTTATCAGTTCATCTGAAGAATTCAGGATTTTGTGACAGGCACTGGTAGAACCAGTTTTTCTGCTCAAACGCTTTCAAACTGGAAATTTTTATTTCAGATGCCCAGATCGGTGCAACGTCTACATATGCACTCAAGCTTAGGGCAGACACGTGAAAGCAATAAATAATCACAGGAATGGCATACATGAACAGTTGGCGCAAGAACCACTACCCTGTGGGAAAAGCCTAATTGTTTGAAGTGGAACGCCTTTATCGCTCTGCCATTTGAGCTTCAATGAACGCCGATTGGTGAGAAACCACCGCGACAGATGCTTCATAAAATGAGTGTGTTTTGAGTGTTTAAATCATCATTTTAAGAAAGAAGTGTAAACTTAAAGATTCGTTTTTAATGAGACACATTAATTACGAGAACTAAGAGACAAAGGTGCCACGGAAGGTGTATGCAATGCTATTAAGGTATGTAATGTAATGTAATGAAATGTAATTACTGTAATGTAATGTAATGTAATTGAGGTATGTAATGCAATGTAACGTAGATGTAAAGAAAGAAAAGTAGACAAAAACATAACTTGACGCCATCAGGGACTGAACCTGCGACCTTCCAATAACGCGTGTGATGCCCTACCACTGAGGTATGGCGGGCGTCATTCCTACGTCCACTTTTTATAGGATGTATATCTGAGCTATGAAAATCCATACGTATACCCTATACAATAAGGACGGAGGGATGACCACCACCACTGCTCAGTCAGCAGCGAACGCGTCATTCGAAGGTCACAGCTTCTGATCCTGCCAGTGGCAATTAAGTTACCTTCTCGCCCACATTTCTTTCTTCAAATTTGCCTACAGTTACTTTTAATGGCATCCCCTCCACGTTTTTTGGCTTCATCATCTGTGAGTTCTCAACAATTATCATTTGGGCTAGCATGTCATGGTGTCGCAACGAGAAAAATATTTAGTCTCAACTGTTTGTACTGTTCCTTGTTATCTTTCACCAAGTATTAGTTAGAGTGGTTGCAGGGTTATATGAGAGACGTTTATTTCCACAACCCATTGGTGAGCATGGGGCAGTGCTTAAAGCGGAAGGGGTAGTGAAAGATAGAAGACAGCGGAAAATAGAGGCCACTTTCACGACAGGAATACCCGCGCAAACGTGCTCCAGGTCTCGGTACCACTATTCACACGAGAAAAAAAATAACTGGTGCGTGATTGGTGGCACAGCGAATCGAACTCACTACATACAAACATAGAAGTGCTCGAGAGAGGAAGGAAAAGTACGCATTGAATCACCCAAAGGTTAGTGCGGTTGACACACGGTCAACAACGTTGACACTGTAACTACGACTGGAGAAAGGACACATGAGAAAGGAGAGAATCACGTTCATGGAACAAAGCACCTGATGCACCGGCTCAGTTGAGCACGTTTACGTTCAATCTGTCCTTGTCGAAAGCACGGAGCAACAGTGTTCCTATTACATTCGTAGATATGGTGACCAGGAAGGTTGTCGATGCGTAGTGCACATCACGATAAAGAAGTTAATGAGACAAAAAAGAACTCGGTGAAATGGTAATTAGCGTACCTAGTCTACCCGTTAGTTTGTACTCACAAACACCTTAAAATACTTAGTCCTAGGAAGATGCGGCAGCGGAGCATGTACAGAAGGACGCGCGCTTCTACGATTGAGCAGATGCGGTCATCCGCTTCATGTGAAGCATGAAGCAACAAGAAGAAGCCACAAGCAACACCGCCAAAGAAGGCAACACCGCGCACGCTCATTCCTAGTACTTCGTTTAACGATGAGTGCGCAGTGACACCGTAAGCTGATAAAAAAACTACAACACTCCTTGCATCTCTTCAATTTGTCTCAAGGGTCTTTAATTCTCCAGTGTTCTTTGTCTGCAGCGGACAAGTATAGGCTCACCGAATTTTCGTTTATAGTGTAATTGAAACATAAACTAGATTTATATTGATTATAAGGGTTCTGACTATTACAAGGGGTGTTTCCGGAAAATAGGAATATGCTTCGAGTTGGTCGCGAATAAATTGACGCACTGCTACACCACCTTTAGTGTGAAGTTTTGCTTTGTAGTGTAGAAAAAACAAAATGATCTAGTCAGTTCTGTGATGTAAAAATTTCCCAGCAGCAATGTAGATGTCTTTTGACAAGTATTTGAAAGCGTTTCATAGAAGTAAAGATTTATTCATTAAATTTGTTGGTGCAGATAAAGTTTTTATGAGCCTCTACTTCTCTTGAAAACAAACTAGAATTAAGATTGCTGTCAAGGAGAGCTCAAGGCACCCCCTACTTAATACATGCCTCGAATCAATAAATATTTAAAGGGTGTATGAAAGACACTGCTTAGCAATGCGTGTGAGTAGACATGAGTCTATAGGTGATTCTAAGTAAGGCTGACATAAACGCGAACGAAGACTATAGATAAAACCGTAGGTTGGCAAAAAATTGTTGAACCCGATCTCAGTCACTCAAGAAGTATGTCATGTGCTTAGACTCACTCGGACTAGTCACTCAAGAAGTATGTCATGTGCTTTAGACTCACTCGGACTAAGATTCACCAAAATTTTCCTGCGCCGAGCTTAGGTTACGTTACCTTGCTTTCCCAAACTAGGGTGAGCAAAGAAAGTGTTAGCGACCCCGCTGTCTTCAATAGGAGAGCACTTTTGCTTTAAAAGAATGCTTGTATTTGAAGATAGCAGGGAGCACGTGTTCGAGATATAAACGTAAGAATTAGAAGACACGAGCCTCCAAAACAGGCAATGCAACCTTAAAGGACAATGAAGCAAATTCCAGCAAACGGCGTGGCAATGACCAAGAAGAGACAAGATTCAATTCCCAATATCTCATAGTTTTCGAAAGTGAATTATAAGCCTGATCAACTATGTTTCAAAGAAAGTATCACGTCAATTTTCGCTTGTCAAAAATTCTAGGTTTCTGAAGAATTCAACAGGCACAAAGTATTTATGTCTATACCTATTTTTTTTCTTTAAACCCTGCCGTAACATATCATAATACCTCAACCGAATGTTGATATAACATAAGTGTGGCTTATATACAAAAAAATTTGGTATAGTCGTCCCACGGCTACGAGCTCTGGGACTGTTCTTCCTGTTTCACTCATTAACAACTAAAATAATCACTGCACACTTCTGAGTTTGAGAGAACGCTGAAGTCCTTACGCAGAGATTTTTTTGTAATTGTGGTGGTTTGCTGAAGTATCTAAGCACTAGCTCTTCAGTAAATGACCTTACGCTTCGCGCCAGCATCATCACTTTTGATTCTGCTTGATCACTGCGAGAATGCATGCGATGCTTAATAACCTGACTGTAGATATCGTATAATTTCGGCCAAGTTTATCTCCTAGTATCTAGTACTCTGAAAGCCAAAGAACACAAAAAACGTGATCCCTACTTACACTTCAGTGCCCACGGCTCAAGACTCTGGAATCCTCGCATCAGTCGCAATAAGCCGACGCTACATTCGGGCCTGACTTCGGCCTCGAGAAGCTTTCTCCTGAGAGACGAAGGCATGCTGGTGAACAGGCGGGTCACGGCATCTCGTAGTACTTGTTCGTAGTTGGGTTCATCGTCCACTGCCGTGGTGGGTACTGTTGCTAATGTGGAGTCGGGGATAGTTGTACTGGTATGGTTCTCTACCGGCGATGCATGTGCCTCAAATGGCAGCAGAACACATGCCACCAAAATAAAGAGGCATGTAGGTGATGGGCCACTGCTGCTTCTTTTCTTCGTGGTTGGAGACGCCATCTTGTGCGGATGTTCAGACTGAACTCAGTCTATCCCTCGGAGAACCACAATCTCAACTTACTTCAATTGGCTAGCTTACCAAAGCAAAAGAAGCGGCGTTGAGAAGAAATCAGAGCCGGTGCACTCTATGAAGCAACGGAGGCTGTGACATAAACATCATGCTTGGGTTTTCACGACGTGAACGGAGAACAACTGCTAATCTGGAATGCTTGAAATTTAGGGCCAGTGTGTCACACGCAACCCGTTACTGGGTGCAGTATGATGAACGGCTAGAATCAAGATTGCGATCCGCAAGTAGCACTTTGTCTTCGGTGGCATAAGCACAAGTCAGAGTGAACCAGAGAAACTATTATTTCCCTCTTTCACGGAACGCGCTATCTTCGAGCCACTGCTACATGAAAGTAAGTAGAATTTTGCGACAATGCACGGCTTCCTATAGATAAGACTGAGGCTTAAAATGGGGCATGAACGACCAGGCAAGGCAAAGATCCCGAACGCTTTCAATGCTGGTATCTGACAAGGACCGCACTGCCGTGGCGCTGGAGAACCAAAAAACCTTTGGCCTCAGTGCCCGTCGCCGTGTGATCATCTACGCGTGCTGTCGCGAGTCGGCAGAAGCGTGCGACTGACAACGCGCCACTGTCTGTCAGGAACTCATATCCGTAATGTGGTGAGAGACATCGGGGAAAGAGAAAAAATGGCTAGTGCTCTACCTGTGGGTGTTGTCCGACGGCCGCAGCAGGCCGTTCTTGCGGGGGCAAACTTCTGACGATGTCATTGACATCACGTCAGCAGGAATATACGGCAAACGACCAGCTTCCTCAGAAGATGCTGCTCCCCAGAGCTCAAGGTCATTCTATCTCGTTTAACGCGCCTTATTTCCTACGACCGTTTCTTGATTTCGCCATTTTTTCCTTTCGTTTCTCATTTAGCCGCTGAAGCCGCATCGCCGATGTGGCAACCCGTGTAGGAAAAGCGTCAAAGGCTAGCGATTGAAATATTGAATATAAAAAAACTACGACACACTGCTGCAGCGGTGGTCACTATCTAGCTTTTTTTTTCTTTTTTCTTCTGAGCGTTCCCCGTATTATATACGTTCTGTTGGCAATGCGCCTAGCTGTCGGAGCGTGCACTCAGTGTCAAAGCAAGCTTTCGACGAAAAAAAGGTTTGTGGTCGGAATTCGTAAATACCTAGAACTAGATGGGGGCGCAGTGAGAGGATACGGGCTTATCCGTATTGAGTCACTTAAAAAAAAAGATGTCTCGCGCTCTCCTAATGCGTCATGACGTCAGACGGAGGGAAGACGGGCATGCGTGTCAAGTCTTCATTTGAGATAAATGAAAAGAAAGGGGTCGGGATAAGTGAAAAGGATCAAGAGTTGAGACTACTCTTTATAACCCCGTGAACTACAAAAAAAAAAGAATATTTCAGGCTTGATAAACCTAGAAATTAAATACTGTTATTGAAGAAAAAAAATGTAGCTGATAAAATTCAACTGATGGATACAGGCTTTGTCCGAGAAAGAGCTTTACTACTTCTGCAGCTGTGTGCTTTATTATCGCAACGCATGTTGAAGCCCAGAGCTACTATCATGCAAAAGAAGGCATTTTTGTGACAGTGTGCGCTGTTATGCTACCAATGTTACTACAGCCGCGTCCAATGTAACTTTCGCTACTAATACTATGGCCACAAAAACTAAAAAACAGAATAATCAGGTTCCATTACCATTTCTGCCCTTTTTTATGCGAAGCTTCTCCCTCACACCTTGGAGGAACATGAAGGCCTGTTGGTTGGGAAGATGGTGGAGAAAAATGGAGGTGTAAGTGGGACCACCAAAGTAGGCAATGGAATCTTGAATGAAAAGGGCTGTTGACTTGTAGATAAGGCATGGACTGATAAAAAAAGATAACGAAACGAGACGAAGCTCCATAAGCCGTCAAATGTCGGCGTAGGAGCTCATTGAATATGGATACCGTCTAGCGCTTAGCCAATATAGTGTGACCCTCATTGGTAAAAAAAAGACAACAAAAAGAAAGTGGACAAAGATGTTTGCAGGCGTTCAGTGCAGGTCTGCGTTGCGAACGTGGGGCAGCAAAGCAAGTTTCGGATCTTCGAGGTAACTTTGTTTTTTTGAATAAGTAATTCTTGTCACGAAACTTGCCCATGTGCGTGATGCGAGTAGAAAAACCCTTGTCTTACTCAGGTAACCCTCGATGTACGAAGGAGAGCAACAACCACCAAACGTTCCATGATTATTTATTTTCGCGCGATTATTGTTGATCACAGAGTTATCGCGTTCATATTGCTACGGCTACAAATGTACCAGTGTGACGTTAGCACCTACAAAGCATTGCATATTTTCTGTTTTTCTGCACCTCACGCCTCTGCTTCTGTTGCTTCAAGTCACCGTATTTTATTTAGCAATACCTTATTTATGTTCACTTATTATTGCCCACCGTCAGTATTAAATCATTGGTAATCTAGATACAGTGGTCAGTTTATATTGTAATCAACAAGTGCTTTTGCAGATCGGTCATTTTGCTGGTTACACACCAACAGCTGTATGTGGCCATTTATAATACATTTGACCATATTTGATCTGTATGCCCGTATCGGCGATGCTTGGTGTATCAGGTTTCAAAATGACCCATCACTGGACCTTTTTAGCTGTTATGGGCTCATGACAGCTGCCAATTTTGGTGGTGATGTCGTCCACCTCTGGTACTGTTATCCATCGCAGCTATCTCACATAATGAAAAGGTAAAAAAAAACAATAAGAAGCTGCAGTTTGAGCAGGAATAAAACACACATACAGCGTGAGATATAAATATTCCAGCACAGAGCCATGCAGGTACTTGAGACGTTTTCAGAAAAAGAGTCTGTACACAGCAGACATCAAGTCGGACAAGGAGCAGCTTTAAAATGTGTAATACTATCGCAGGAGTGCATAGAATAGCGCCACGTGTCACGCCATTTGAACTGCACAATGATAGGAAGATCTAAGCCTTACAACATACTACATGGGGTTCCTGTTTGATTCATTGTCGTAGAGTCACTGAAAGCGCAACCGCGGTAGACACAAACAGAAAACAAAAGAAATATGTTCTACGATGAACAACGAAACAATTATGCCTGAGTAGCAATTCTGCCGAGTTCATCATTTTCACCAGCATCCGTCGCATAAACGTGCTGTTTGGCTACTTAAGTGGGAATGGTGCCTTACAGGCTTCAAGGGGGTTCGCTGTTACTAAAAATTATAATCAATTATGATGTAGAAGGCAGTTCTCAGTTGTGCTTCTTGTAAAAGCGACCTAAAAAAGTTTCCATCGGGCTCGGCGAAGGCAGCAGCTCTAGCTTATACGCTATGACTGTGCAGCGTGTTCCGATCAGAGTTCGCTTTTTTCATTTTATTCAATTATTCATTTATTGGTTTGTTTATTTATTCATCCGGCAACATCAATAATAAAAATTGAGAGTCTTAAGGTGGTAGAACTGGAATCGCTAAAATTGGTTTTCTGATGTTATTTCAATTTGCTTTGTGGTACTTATGCAGCAACCACAGTCTTTCTTGCCACAGCGCAGTAGTATGCATGTGAACTTATTGACGTAAACACCACAAGATAATGATGTGTAACAGATGGCTTATTTTTTAAACAAAAATGTTCTGATCAAATGCACGGAGTGAATGATAATGAGTGGGAGCAAAGCACTAAAGGGTTTCATCGCTAAACCATGAACCATGCGCGAATATCGCCCACTACATTATCAAAGACACGACAAACGCTGTATGTATTTATACAAAAATTTTTATTATTGGTAAGTGGTAGCTATACGTTGCTTCCGTTCTCCCTTCATTATAACGGTTTGTGGTCGGTGAAGTGGTGGATCGGTAATGAGGCATAGCGGGATGTTTGCAAGGACGAAGTAGTGGGTAGTTTGAAAAGGGGGAATTATAGGCGGTAATGTACATACATATAAAGGATGGACAGACCCACGCCTTTAGGAGCTTCACTCCTAAAATGTTATTTGGCTCACGCGTAAAAAATCTGGCGTCTCACGTTAAGGCCTTCAACAAGAATAGTACCAAAAGTTAGTAATTCAGAAAGTATCTGGACAGTATAGCATGTCGACGTTGCTCTCCTTGGTGCTAGCAAAAGGGAGTGCCGATTTGGTCTGCCCATGTGCAGATTAATTCGTGGGAAGTCTACCCTTTGGAAAGTGTGATCAGGTAGTTAAGAAAAGTGTGATCAGAAAAGTGTGATCACGTAATAGGACGGTTTCGTTTTATTCCGCTTTGGTCAGTGGTTCCACTGGAGCTTAAACACTTCAAACATGGTTAGTACTGCGAAATAGGCAATGCTGTCGGTAGTTTATTGGAAAGTTGGCTGCAACATTTCGCTTTTGTCCGGTTCAACCAACATCAAACCGGAATCTATCTCAACAATTACAACTCAATATAACGTTTCACTTCTGGTACTGCAGTGCAATGCTTTTTCTCATTATGGGAGTGTCAGATTATTATAAAAATGCCACACCTGGCATCTGCAACGCACAATACATTCACAGCTGCAGCCACAATAATGACTCAAGCATTTGGTCCTGCCAGTTAAATTTATTCGTGTTTTGTCCCTTTCTGTTTGGGGTACAAATTTCGTATCTTCAAGGAAACAGCAGCATCAAGCGGATATCATTTAGAACAGAACTGCCGCATGCAACGCTTTTGAAAAAAGCAACTCAATGACGTGTGCGTTTCCTCAATTTACGGGCTTTGCATTCGGTGAAGTATAGAGTCTCAATCAATATTACAGCGCGTACTTTTTTATGCAGCTTGGTTCAGCAGCTGACACACGTTTACGAAGAAGAATGAAAAAAGCATTACTGAATGATAGGTAATGCGGTGAGGGCGGGATTATTTTTGCTGTATTCCTTGTCGGGCGGCAGAAGTTCACATCTATTTTTGTACACTTTTTGAATTGCAGAACAAATGATTCATCTATTCATACAGGGTGTCCCAGCTATGACGCAGCAATATTTAAAAAAAGAGAATCGTCGTTACACCAGCCAAACTTAGCGCTACTGTTTCTATAATTACTTTAGTAGCCACTACTACTTCTTTTGCAATGACAAACAATTATTTATAGTAACCTTGTTTTGAATTTAAAAAAGTACTACCCTAATTATAAATATGTCATTGAGGCAAATGTGCGCATGTTGAAAAGACACTTGTCTGTGCTACTTTCTCCAACGTAATAATTGCGTGCTGGTTTCTTTCTGTTCATAGAAAAGCCCAACAAGAATAAAAAATACTACTTGACTGCACTCTCATTCGCAAGGGAAAGCAGTGCATTGAATAAGCATACAGCAAAGAACCGATATGCTTCTGGTCCGTTGCCAGGGGCAGCTTCCTGAACATTGACAAGTGCACAGGTCGGGGCTAACATGTGTCACTATTTTGCAGACACTTCTTCAGTTTTATTGTATGTCGCTATCAATATTTATAGCTCAAGGCCAACTGTTCTTATTTATCACGTGGCCGGAGCACTGTTCTGGTGACAGCTTGACCTTGTAGGATAAAAGCAGTGCGTTTCTTCGCACGGAAAGTGGTCGATAGCGCA